TACGCACAGCACTGTACAATGTCTCTTCAAAACACAGCCCCCTAACCACGCCACTCGACCATTGGCGTGTTTGCAAGAAAGCCCTGTAAACAGGATGCAGTGAGGCTGGCTTGACAGAACACCCTCCCATCTCCTGAGTTGAGGAATATGACTGAAATCTCGTTCAACTGTGGGGAGTGCTGTAACTTCAGACTGTGAAACAATGAAGCCCCTTCAAATGACATCGCAGGTCCAGGTTCTCTGTTCCCTCACTCAGCTTGAATCCGATGCCTCCACATCACACTGTGTTGGCTCTCGGTAGCTATTAATCAACTTTTTTTTTTGAGCCTCCTGGTTGTAGGTAGCAATCGAAACGAATTTCATTTTGGGTTCATTTTGCCCAAGTAATAATAAATGGGTGTGTTTCTTCCCCTTCTGCTAACTGGATGCAATTTTTTCAGGCCAAAGTCTTTGGAGCGACAGTTTATCAGTTTCCTGTGTCTTTTCTAAAATAATTTCTCCAGATTTTCAATTTAGTATAAAGAACATGTTGGATCAAATTTTTAAAATATAAACATTTGTAGAGTGATCCAAATAACTACTTCCACGTCTAAAAGACTGAGTGACATTTTTGGATCAATTTTCTTGCAGTTTACATTTTGGTATCATTAGCTGTAATATTCTGAGCAGCTGCTGACACATGCGAAGTGATGCAGAATGTGGCAGTGTCCTGGTGATCTAAGGAAAACAAAACCCGTCCACCAGAAACACCCAGGTAATCGAATGAATGAATGAATAAATAATGGAGACTGGACGAAACGATGTCTAGCTGATCAGCTGCAATGGGTCCCTTTGGTCACATAATTTAAAAACTACCCTTAGGACCAAAAGTTCTGTGATGTGGTCTCAAAAGACAGTTGCATCGCAAGGCAAGGTTAGCAGAGGGTGTGAATAAGATGCGTACCTTCAAACTTTGTCCAAGGCGATTTTAAGGGAGAAAAGATGGCTTATTCAGCATGAGTAGGCAGTTAAATGCTCCTCTATGCAAAATCATTTATAAATATATTTAAAACAAGACTGGTTTTACTACTTAATCCCAGAAAAATATGTTTAGTTTGTTTTCTGTCTTTATGGGCTCATTCTTGAGCCATGACTACAGGGTCCCCTAGTCCAACAGCAACTCCCGGGGAAGGAGGCCGCTGGGTCTTTCTCGGCCTCTTCACTTTTTAAAAATGTTCTCAGAGAATTAGAAGACCTGATTTCTGCCTTTCTCGCTGCTTGAGCCCCAGTGCTGACAGATGCCTGGCATCCAGCTGGGGCTCCGTGGATGATGCTCCGGTCCCCATAGCCCTGGCCTGTTGCCCTGCACACAGTGGTTACAGACGTGTGGGCATGGTGGTGGATAGAGGAAGGGGCAGGGCAGAATTTATATTAGTTGAATTAATGACTGAAGAGAAATCAGTTATTTCCGCCAGTAACTAAGACCGCCGATTCTGCTATTTAGAACTTTTATTGATTTCGGTGAGCCGCTTAACTTTCCTGGGGCTCAGTTTCCTCATCTATCAAATGGGACTAGAACTATAGGTCTTATGCACCCCATCAAAGGACGCATGAGACCGTACAGGTGAAAACACCTGGCAAATGTTTGTTGATCCCTCCCCTTCAACTCGCTCGCTTCCAGCCTGCCCTCCAGGCTCGAGTCATCCTTAGAAGTGGGGGCTGCTGACCATCCTTCTGCTCTGGCCACCAACAGTGCCACGTACTGGGGGTCAGGAATAGTAACTGTGCCTTGGCATTCCTCTAAAAATTCTAGGCAATGTTATCTGGTCCTGGAGATTTAGTGACACCTGCAATTAGGTCTAAAAATGTGCGTTTACCATAATTGGTCTCACGTTGGTGCTAAAAGACACATTAGTGGAGGAGGCACTGCCGCCGGATCCTGCACTCACTACCCCCATGAGCATCACCGGCCCCCGCACTCTGTGGCTGGTGTTGAGGCTGAGACCCACAGGGGAGTAGTCAGCATTCCAGGCAGAGTTACAGGGCCAGCCCTGGAAACTAAACATGCCAGACTCGGGTGAGCAGCCAACAGGCAACGGGGTCGTGAACTCGGCAGATCAGAATCTAGATGTTCAGGGCACAGGAGAGATCGGGTTTGGGCACAGGAGAGATCAGAGGCAAGGAGGGAGGTCTCCGCCATTCATACTGAGTGCTGATGACCTACAGAACCTTCTAGTGACGAGTGGCTGAGTGGCTACCCATTGGGTTGCGTTTGGGGGTACAGACTGATGCTTTCTCATGAGCTCCACGGTACCTCTGACAAAGCTGACCACCTCCATCCAAGAGAAGCCCCCAAAGCCCCCTTTCTGTTCCGAACTCCCTCCCTTCCTTGCCTCCTGTCTCTGACCAGCTGCCCCCCGCGCTCCTGTTCCTATCCCACCTGAGGCTCTGCACACCTCTCACCCCTACTTCTCCTGTTTGTCCGCCCCTGTCCGGACCTTCTGCCTTAAAGAGCCCCGTCTCTGCTGCTGTTTCCACAAGCTACTTTCCCTTTGCATCCCCATAGCCCTTTGCTAGTTTTTATGGGACTGATACTCTGTTTTGTGTTATAATGATTTGTACAAGTCCTATCTTGCAAACCTCCTGAGGACAGAGACTGTCCACATTATTTATGTAACATCTGCAGTTCCTAGCATAATGTCTTACACTAGTGGGGCCAATAAATATTTACCGTGTTAAATTTTACGATAATTCTTATTTCTAAGAATAAATAATGACAAACTCCCTCCATTTTTCTCTTATTCCAAAATATAGTCACAATAACACGATCATGTTACACAGTTGTTTCTCTGTAAATAAAACAGCTACTGGTTTTAGTTTTATCCTATTCAGATTCAAATACATTTTCTCGTCTTCCGGGGTCTTATATAACACTTTTTAAAGTCAACGGTCATTTGATCGTTCCAGAAAACACTATCGTTTCATCCCATAAGCCTCCGGTCACAACTGTCGACAGCTGCGACCCTGCACGACGACTCTCCGGTCTCAGTCTGCAGCTCCCCCTACGCGTCGTACCGTCCCTGGTACATTTCATTATCCTGCAACAGGCAGGAAGTCCCTGCGTTTTTCATTTTATGAAGCTCTGGGGCTCAGTGGCCCATTGTCGCTACTGGTGGCTGTTCCTCACCTGTGTGCCTGACCCTCGGCTTCTCCCCTGCCCTCTCCTAAGTCTCGAGTCGTTTAGATCTTGGTCCTCGCATGCCGCCCAGCACTTCAGTTCTGTCTCTTTCTGGGTCCTTGGGGACCGCTGCGGGAGCAGGCTGTGCTTCGGCTTTGCTTAGCGCTCGTAGCCCTGGCAGCTCTGATTGGTGGAGAGACGCCACCCTCATCTTCCTTTTCCTCAGACGTGCCAGGCAATTCTCTCCTGAGCATATGCGTCAAGAGCCCGTGTCAATTCAAATCTCATACTTCAAAAATGATATTCCAATCTAGTCGACTGTCATGTTTTTAGATTGCTTCTGCTTTCTTCCAGTTCTGGCAAAGGGCTGTGCGAGGCTGTTGGGCGCATCTTATGCCCAATGCTACGAACGAATGCGTGGGCTGGCTGCTCCAGGCCAGGGTCCCTCTTTCTTTGTGAAGGACCACCTGAGCCCGTAATATTCCTGGTCCGGGGGACACGAGGAACTGGGGAGGTCAGAGTATTGACTCAACTTGGGGTTGTTATCAAAAAGGAAACAGGCTAGTCCTGGAATAGGCAGGTGGGGAGCGAAGCACTGTGCCTGGTCTCCTGACCCTGTGGCCCCTCCAGCCCCTGGAACAATGCTAGGACCAGAAGTGCGCCTTTATATTCTTCTCTGAGACACACTGAAGATCAGGTTGAGCCATTAGTTAAGGATAGAGGACACTTGAATGAGACATACACTAGCCTTATCATAAAAAAACAAAATACGAGTTCATTATGAAGATGGGAAGGGAATGCTCACGCAGGAGTAACTACAGTGAGAATGCTTTACTCTATCTGTATATTTCGTAATGACAAGTGTGGGAACTTATTATCTAATCAAAAGGGTTTGTGATGACTAATTAATGATTTTGCATCCAATCAGGAATAATTCACATCTTATTGTGAACGTTAAGCTTTGCTTTGGTCATGGGGTGCGTGCTGACTGGCAGCGCTGTGTCGGGGGTGGCAGGCCTCCCTTTCCTGGTCCTCGGTCCCAGTGCAAGTTGCCAAAAGGCTGGGGCATGCGGCTTTGGAACTAGAAGGTCCCGAGGCCCCGGGGGTACAGAAGGCCAGGGGACAGACTGTTCTGGAGGGGAAAGTTCTGGGGGCTATCAGTCAGCCCAAGTGCAAACCACACTCTGCTCAAGTCTGGCTGGAAAGCATAGGAAAAGAGACTCTGGCGCCGGGGTTAATAGTCTTGGAAATATAATAAACATTTCTTCCCTCTTCCCAGCAAGCACACAGAGAGTAAAATGAGTTCTTGCTACTCTGGAATAAACAGTAATGCTCTCTGGGTGAAGAGCCAACTGGCAGTTTGAAAGATTGAGTTAATCAGGCACAGAGAAATTTCTGATTAATTGGACAATTATTTCGAATTCTGAGAGAGCCAAAGCAATATTAGAGAAATATTCTGACCAACTGGGAATAAATTCAATAGCCTGAGGCAGAGCTTTTTAAGCTTACGAGGGTTGAAATACACAGGCATTGTGTGCTTGATTTTTATGGTCTCAAGTCCCCAAATGCATAGCACCTATAACTATTTTTTAAGACCAAAGTGACTCTAAATTATGTTGACTTTGAACAATTATGGAAAATCTGTCAGACATTCCCCCGAAATCAGTTTAAGACGCTAGGACACGGCATAACCACAATTTAGGGGCCAGGAGACGGGGACCATCATGTTTGATGATGAAAAGTGGCCCAGATCCACCAATAGTTGTCTCTCTGTGGGAGCCTGCAGCCACAGCGCACCCCTGACCCGGTCCTTTCTGGAAGTATGCAGATGGCAAGGCCTCACCTGGTGGGGGCGTGCTTCTGTTCCTCCTCCTCATCAGTGTCGCTGCTGATGGTGATGACGCTGACCGTGGGGCTGGGGGTGTCAGGAATGACAATCGTCTGCCGCTGCCGCTCCCTGGTGGTGCTAGAGGCCCCGTCACCCCAGCCGCACGTGACGGAGGAGCTGCAGGCCGGACTGCTGTGCACTAGGGCGCAGCGCGGCGGTGTGTTCTCCTTGACGCGCTTGGACCGCTGAGGGGAGCTGATGGCCTGAGAGGAGGACACCTCGCAGGTGGAGACATTTCTGGAACGACAAAGCCACACGGTCTCAGAGAGGAAGTGGCTGCCTCTAGAGAGCTTTCTTTCAGGTAGTCTGAGAGGAGGACACCTCGCAGGTGGAGACATTTCTGTAACGACAAAGCCACGCGGTCTCAGAGAGGAAGTGGCTACCTTTCTTTCGGGTAGTTGCTACACAGAAGGGATGCCAGCCTGATCTTCTCAGGGATCTGGTTCCATGCAGGACCAAGGGAGCAGGCAGGGCTCTAAGGAGGTGAGGGACTGTGCCCAAGGACCGGACTGGCCTTATGGGATGGATGCCATGCCCAGGATCTGAGAGTGTCTGCCCCAATGCAGCCCCGTCTACAGGGTCAAGGCTTGACTTCCTAGGCTGCACCTTGTCATCCCCCCAAACGTACTTAGGTTTTGTTTGAGACAGAGGTAGAAGAAACAGTATTTGCCACATAAAGCCCGAGTGCCTTGCTCATGGCTGGTTTACCATTTGATAAACTAAAGCACTCATCCGTTAAGAGTTTCTGGATCTAAAGGATCTAACTTTGGTGAAAGTTTAGTTTTTCATCCTTCCTCCTCTGGGAAAGGGACGTGACCGTAAAAGTACCTGTGTATGCATAATTAAAAAACAACCTTTCCCCCCTGGATTTTGACATCTGAGCGCCACAGGAAGCTTACCAGTCTGTTTCAATTGTAACGAAAAATTGGAACAAGGGTAAGAGGAAAAGGTGTGCTTAAAAAAGAACCCTTTAATCTTGATTTTGATAAACTCAAAATTCCTTACCAAAATAGTCAATGTAGTTTCCAATAATTTTAGGGAAAAAAATACTTTACCTTTTCCCCTCCCCATCAACGCTTGCTGACCTTGGTCATATCTATACAGCAAGATCAAAGCCAGCCTATCATGAAACCAAAGACTCTAATATGTCCTTAGAGATTCTACAACCTTCTAGCTAAGGGATGGCAGTAAGATAAAAATAATTCCAAAAAGGCAAATTTCAAAAGTTTTCTATTTAGTTGGTATCAGATATGTTGCTTGTTCCTTTCTGGAGGGTGGTAATAACTTTTACTGATAAGACTATACCACTGTTTACCATAAGCCTGAATATTTGTTATGGCTAATATGTTACAGTTTTGAGATTATGTTTTCGCTACTCCAGCAGTTAAAATATCTCCATTGGCATTATTAAAGAAAAGTATGCCTGGCTGCACTACCTAACGAGGGAGAGAATTCTGGCCTTTCAGGCTGTTTTGCCTAAGGCACTGGTCTTAAAAATAGGCAAATACGTAACTTCACAATAATTACATTGATCTTGAAATGCACTGGTAACGAGCCTCAAAAAGCCAGTTGGGTGGTGAGCAGGCAACGGAGGGACTTTTCAAAATTTGGGAGGCTAAGCGTTCTTGCTGCTCCTACCTGGCCAAGGTCAGCCCTAAGTCGGACCAGTGCTCTATGTGATTGCCTATCAAGCTGCGCATGACAGAGCATGAGGATTGAGATGGTGGCCTGCGTTGCTGCCCAATCCAATGACATGGGTGTGTTATCACAGAGCTGCTGAACAAAAGCATTTTGGAGGCCTGCCACTGATCTGAGATGAATTTCCCTGAGTTGTCAGCAACACCCAAATAGGGAATCTCGAAGATTGACAACTTGAGGGAATCGGCTGCCGGATTAATCTCTGCATGGGAAAGAAAAAAAGCAGGCCTCATTGCTGGTGCCTGGCTACATGAGGAGCAGGAAATCAGACTTTACTGGACATTTTATATACTGGACTTCTCTAAAGTAACCTATTCCAAATAAGCAGTTGAGTACCTCCACGTCAATGCCGCTGAACGGGAATGTAGAGTGACTCTGCAGCAACACAATCTTGATCTTGCGTGTTTTTTTAGGGGGGGTGGGGGGAGGAGGTGTTTGGAAATCTTTATTTTTTAAAAAAAGTCAGGTTTATTGCAGTATATATACAGTAAAAGTCGCCCTTCTGAAATGTTTGATGAGTTTTGACTGTATGACGATGTGACCTCTACCACAATGTGGACACAGAACTTCTTCATCCCCCCTCAAAAGTTCCCTCATGCTCCTTCCCTGTCAATCCCCTCACCTCCTACCCTAGTCCCTGACAACTCCTGAGCTGGTCTCTGTCTCCACAGTTTTGCCTTTTCCAAAAATGCCATAAATACGGAATCATATGGCATGTGGCCTCTTGTCGATCTTGATTTGTAAGAGTTCACTGAGATGAGCCTGGATTTAGAGGGAATGGCCGAGATTACTGTTCTGCTGGTTGGTGTCTAGGACTAACAAAAGCCATTGCTTAGATTTAAGCAGCTACATGGGTTATATTTCCGACCTTAGATTTCAAAAAAAAAAAAAAAAAAAGAAGCACATGGTTCTAATATATTTAAAGAAAAGTTATTATAGTTTCCGAAGTAGAACTTCAGAGGTGAGTCTGGGAATTTTCTAGACAAGTGGAAGGTGCAGAATCGCTCAAGGCCCTGGCACGGGGCGCTGTGACTAGGATGCTGTCAAGGCCAGTAGAATGGTGAGGCAAGAGGCAGGTGGGCACCTTGCACAGGCCTGAGAACGAGCATCTCCTTCAAATCCTAGCTCTATCCACGTGGCACAGTGGTATCCGCGTGGTACGCTGCGTTCCGCCGGCTATTCTCTGTCCCACGCCGGGGATTGAGCATGTGCTGGTACTCCCCAACACCGAGAGGTTTCTTTGACGTTGTCAGAGACGCCCCGAGGTGTCCCGCCTCCGGGGAGAGGCTCTCCACCTACCTCGCAGAGGATTGGTGCTGCTTATTCTTCCGGGAGGAGGTGGTGCTGGTTGGCTGCTGCCTCATCACGTGGGCCACGCCCACATTTAAGGGCTGGGCGGCTGGAAGGGTCACATGACCAGTCAAGAGTGCAGGCTGCTGCATGATGGGATTGTAATGGCTGCCGTGAGCATGCGTGTTCCTGAAAGGGAGGTGGGAAAACAAGGCTCTTTATTTTGTAAATACACGGCTTCTTTTTAAGATAAAGGTGTCTCCCCAGTTAAAAGCCAAATTAAACTCATAAGTTGGTTTTCTCGTTAGCCCGTGAGATTGTTGAAGAGATAAGCCTAGCCAGGTGAGCTCATCAGGTAAGCTTCCCAGGTGCAGTTAAGAGTTGTTCTGAAGGAGAGGCAAGAGCACAGTTTGTTGGGGAGTGAGAAAGAGGACTTTTCAAGTGGGAAGAATGCCAGGTATGGAGGCTCGGCTTAAGTTCTGGGCAGAGCTGATACATATTCTCTCCAGCTTTTAAAGCCCCTGACTGTGCTGTGTATTTTATTATAGAATTTACAAATGGCCTTCAATGGATTCTTCTACTTTGTGAGGTAGGCTGGATATCTTAGCAATACTATTTTATAAATTAGGAAACTGTAGTTTATGTGAAAAACAAACTCTGAAGACTAGGGGCCATATGTTTTTGGTGTTAGGAAATGTTAACATTCTTTTGAATTCTCTCAGGTGGCTAACACAATGCTCAGGCATGTTAGCAGCTGACCAATTAATTACATGCTTGCTGAATGAACAATTAGATTAATTGAAGGTTGACTAGACATGCATAGTTTGGTAGCACATCAAAATTAATAATAGTCACACATGTTGATAGAAATACTGGCAGCCATTGTACTGAATGTGGGTTATGTTTCAAAAGTTTTTATGATCTGGGTTGTATAGAGGTCAAAGGTTTGTTTTCCCACCGAAATATTAAAAGTGGTCATTAATTCAGAGACTTGCCCATAAAGGCCCATTTAATACATTAAAAAAAACGATAGAAGAATTTATTTGAATTTTGAAAATATTATAAAATTTATCTTTGCAAGCTGGAGAAAAGGATAAATAGGACGAAAAGAAAGGGGGACACTTTTGTAGAGATTTTGAGTCTTTTGGACATTTACACAGACTTTAGAAACAGATGTTATAGATCCTTTATTTTGTCATCACTATTTCTTCTACAGACATGGCTCTCTTTTCCCTTTGATACAGGTCTAGCATTGGTACTTCTCTCGTGTTTATTAGCCATATTATGGATGTTCTTTGGTCCACACATGAAATGGAGAAAGAAATAGTGTAGGCTCCAAGTGTTTTCTGCGATAACCAAGGAAGAGATAAGGAGAGGTAAGGAATAAGAAAATATGCATGAATGAGTATGTGAGCATTGACGAAACGAAATGAGCCATAAATGTTGAAAGACAAAGGAAAAAATGAGTACAGCATCTGTGTGGTCTTTTAGGAGAAGAAGGGGTGAGAAAAAAAACAACTGGTCCAACAGCTTTCCGCTTGATGGTGGTTTTTTTTTACAGAGGGAGGTGGTCTTGCTGAGCATGAACTGGTGCCCATAGGGGAAGGGAAGATAACATTTATTTAGGTATGGTACATGTTAAATACAGGATAAGTGCTTTGTATTTTATCTTAATTTAAGCCTCCCAACAATCCTGTGAGGTAGGCCTTATTATCCCCACTCTACCGAAGAAGAAACTGAGGCTCATAAAGGTTAAAATAACTCGCTCAGGTCATGCAGAGCCAGAATTGAACCCAGTTTTACCTGGTTTGAAAGTGCTTCGACTGAGTGGGGGTGGTGGTGTTGACCGTGAGAAGTGACTGGGGCATGGGAAAGAGCTTATGTATGATCTTCGCTAGTCAGAAAATTGGATGGAGGAATGGAGGAAGCTGCAGTTGAGGCTTAAGTGGGGCTTCTTGCTCTACCCTTCTGTGTTTTACTGAGAACTCTGCATTCACGATAGTCTTTTAGGTCAGAAAAGGCACTGCGTGGAGGCCCCATGGTTGATATGGAGCCTTTCAGAGAGTGAGGGGTATGACCTGCCTTGATGTTTGGGAAGAATGAGAGAAGCCCAAAATGTCTCTCAGGAAGCTGGGGACAACTTGGGGTGTGCCATTTGGCTCTGCACTGGTGAAGAGAGGCATTGTGGTGGTGTTGGGATGGGGTGGATGGAAGGTACAAGGAAAAGTGGAAAGTGGCCATAAAAACAACAGAGTGATGTGTGGGTAAGGAAGCCAGCTAGTCGGTTGGGGGAGGTTCTGGAAACATGCAGAGGGTGTGGCATGCTGGTAGTTGTCAGTGGATGCCTCGGGGGTCTGTGGAAAGTGGACTTTGATCTATAAGATATGATTATTAACCGAAGAGCCGCACTCAGCAAACATGTCAGAGTCTGCCATTTGAATGAAACCCTGTCTGTCAAGCCTGCCCCGGGAGCTGAGAAGACTCCAGTGTGCCCGTGTCTCAAAACACCTTGAGAACACTTCCGAGAATTGCTGAGGAGCCTCAGGGACTCTCTTCTGCATTCTTCCACTGGTAACAAATCTTTGTTTTTTAGGAGTGGAATTTAATTCTGAGAAACAATCAAAAATCATCCAGAGCCATGTCCAGTGAATTACACTGGTGATTAAATGACGTAACTGAATTCTGAGTTGCAAGTGACAATTGACCATAAAATAATGAAGCTGATTTTCTTGTTTTCTGGTACATATATTTAAAAATTACCTCTCCTTACATCGTAGTCATAGTCCACACAATATTCCTTTTAATTTAAAGCACTTTCTACGAATCCGAGAATTCAGGTACAGGCCAGCCTGGCAGCTCTGCAGGTTAGCAGTGGCCCTGCCTCCCAGCCCAGACACGCTTGCCCTCTGCTTACCTCCAGTCGGCCAGTTGCTGGGTGCCTGCCATGGTCTCAGGAATCACAGTTGCATGCTGCACTGATGTATGGGTGGCCACTCCAGTCAGCTGCTGCCACGCCGGCGGAAGCAGGATCTGCTGGGTTCCACTCGGCCAGGCCTGCTGTAGAGTGGAGGGCATTTGTCGTCACCATGTTCGTTAATCACATGATCAATCCGAATGAGTCTAGCACTTATTCTGTGCTAGACCCTGTGATGGATGTGAAAGTGGAGACCTGGTCTCTGGCCTCAAAAACTAAGTTAAGGGGAGATCAAATGAACATACACGGACTATATAGGAGGTAATATGTACATGGGCAGAGTTGTATGGAATTCGTGAGTGTTGAAGAATGACTTATTTATACATGTGCTGTAATGAACAATGCTCAAAGTTTCCAAATGTTCATTTATTGATTCATTCTGTCACAAAACTATGGGCAAGAGATTGAAGTAGCTAAATGGGGCCATACAAGGGTAACTCTTTGCCTTTATTTAATATCTTACCTTTTGTTTGTCAGTTAGAATCTAGAGTTCCAAACTGTATTATCCTTAGAATTCTAAGTTAACATAATTGTGACATCACCAAATTCCTGGTACTTGCCTGCATCTGAGAACAAGCAAGTGTGAAATAAAATTCTTAGCTAGGACTTTAAGCTTAACTGAGAATTTCCTTGACCTCTCAAAGTAAAAATGAAAGACAGAAAGCCACAGCTTGACTCTTCATAAATATTAAGATTTTTCTAAAAAACCTAAAATGAACTTTCCCAATTCCTCCTTGAATAGACTTACTGAGATGTGTATGTGTTGTGTTGAGTTGTGTTTTAAGCTCTCTCTATCCTCAGATCATGATTCTGTTTGTCTTTGGTCATTAAATGATTTGGACTGAACACAACTGTCCAAAGTTGGACTTATAAAGGAACGCAGGTCAGGAATTTAAAGATTTGGGATCTCAGTTATATCTCTCTCTCTTTCCATCAGGCTGGACATGACCAACATTGGGTAATTTATATAATGTAGTGTTCCACAAACTGTGCACGTGTTTCATATGCATATTTTGGCTCATATGCACAAATAAGCACTTCTGGAAATTTGAATCAAGGCTTAATAAACAGTGACGGGTATAAAAATATGACCACGTTTTAGATCTGAATGGACAGTTCACCACCTGGTCCATCCTTCTCACATTGCAAGATGAGGCTCAGTGAGATCTCTTATACTTTTTGATAGTGCCTGTTTGCTTATTGATCTGTTTTGATATAGGCAGAAAGCTCAGGGACCACATATTATACAGTAAGTGCTTAATAAATGTTTGTTGATAAAATAAAGGAGCACTTCTACCAAGGTAGTTAATTATAGTTAACTGTATTTCAGGTTTACTGAATTCAAACACAGTAAGCAGAAAAATAATTGATTAAAATAGTTACAAGCTCAAAATGTTAAACGAATAACAATTTCATTGGCAATAAGATTGCTATTGACTTTGAAACTCATTTCACATCTCATGAAAAGCATGTGTTTTGGCTAATGTCATTTTTAAATAATAAATCTTGATATCAAACTAAGGACATCATTTTCTCTGATCTCCCTAAAATGGATATTAACATTTTACATCAAAGAGATGGGGTCAAAGGCTCTTTTTTACCTCTTTCACTGATTGATATGTTTAACTCCTTTGAGATGACACTTCTTCAGACATTTTATAATTTAATACTTTATAAGATTAGAGCTAATATTTCTTGGTGCATATTGTGTGCCAAACACAGAGCTAAGACTATAAATGGATTTTCTTAAAATGAATCTTGTGAGGTAGGGACTACTCTTTCCTCCCATTTCTCAGATGAATAAACTGAAACACATGAAGGTTAAATAACTTGTTCAGAAATATGGTAAATTAAACATATATATTTACTGCTGCCTCTTTCTAAACCCAACTAAAATGATAGTGAAGGAAGAAAAAAATTATATAGGCCCATAAGGACAAAAACAAAACAAAACAAAACCGAAAACAAAAAAAAGGGAGAGACAATAACAAAATTTTAGAGACTGGAAAACAGAAGGGTAATTACTGAGTTAGCAGACTGAAGGAATCTAAGGTCAAGTGTGCATATTAAACCATGAGATTCCCTCACCCGTCAGCTCCCAGACATCTGGTATATAGGCTCCACCCCAAAGCAGGAGGCTGGAGGCTGGGGGAATTCTCTCTAGGGAAATTGACTAGTTCAAGAGGAAAAATTATAGATAACATTTGCTGATCAGGGGATCTTCCAGTGAAAATGCTGGGCTCACTCTTTATCAATCTGTGGAGAAGCCCACATTGAACAATCCCTTTCCCCCAAATCTTTCCAATTAGTTTTTTAGTGCTTCAGTCTTAAATATGAATGATTAGCCAAGGATCACCACTATTAAAGGAAACTTCTAACATGAAAGAGACAAAAGCAAAAAAAGGAACTCAGAGGAAATAAAAACCGAAGAAAATTTCCAAATATCTAGAATTGATATCATCACAGACTTAAAATTATATATATATAATTTTATATATAAAAAATCCCAGATAAAAAGGTAAATGGGGCGTGCATTTTTTATACATCTCCAAGAAACAAGATCATATATAGGAATATATCTACATAGCCATATCTATATTCAGAGAACAAGAAAGAACTCTTGAAAATGAGAACTATGACAATGGACATGAACAATTCTATAGAAGGTTTAGAAAAAAACGGAGAAAATCTCTCAATAGCACAGATAGAATATATATGAGAAAATAGGAAAAAGAATGAAAATCAGAAGATCCATTCAGAAGTACAAATACCCAATTGATAAGAATTCTACAAAGAAGGAACAGAGACAATGGAGGGGAAGAAATTAACAAAGAAAAAAATAAAAAATCCCAGATAAAAAGGTAAATGGGGCGTGCAGGACAATGTATGAAAAAAGACCCCCAAGAAAACATTATCATGATATTTCAGACCACCATGGAAAAAGAGTCTTAAAAGCTTTTAGAAAGATATCAAACACAACATGTTCAGAAAGAGAGAAAAAAAATCACAGACACTGAACTTTTTAATATGCTCAAACACATCAACACATCAAACACTGTTTATAGCTCTCGAAGAGTTTGGGGCTGAATAATAATAGATATGAGGGAACTAACCTAAGGAAAAAATGAGACAACCAATATCTCCAGGAAAAGCGAGTTGTACAGGAAAGGAAGTATAATCAGTATATAATGAGGCTCACTGAGAAGAATATTATACAATATTGATGAAAATAATTATGTGAATAATGCAAAGTGGTTGAGTAAAAAAATTACATGGGAGGAAAGAAGAGTGAGTGAAAGGGAGAGGGAGCGAGTGAGCACATGACCACGCTCGTGTGTTGGGGGGGTGAAGGGGGTTAGGTAGCTGAGTCTTCATCTTCCACAGTAGGAAGTCAATTGATACCTAAAATGGAAAAATCAGTAAAAAGCATTTCACGCATGTTATTTAGAAACATGGAGCTAAATAACAAATGAAAAAGTTAAATATTATTGTTTTGGGGGAGTGTATGTTGGGGATGGGATAGAGCGGGAGACTACTGTTTTAAGTTTATGGTGGCAGGTAACTTTAAAAATTATGTATTACTTTGAAAAAGAATTAAAAGAAAAAAACTGCCCTAAAGTCATACAGCCAGTAAGTGGTGGGGCTGGCATGTGAACACGGGAATCCCAGAGCCCACGCTCTTGGCCAGTACACTACTGCTCCTTATGGAGATGCCACACAACACTGACGGCCGTATTTGGGATCAGGCACTGGTGGTAACTGCATAAAATAGTATGAGAAAGTCTTATTCATGAACAATATCAGGTACCGAGCAAGAGAGAATGGATATTAAGGCTAGCTGCTGAAAATGTTACCAAAGGAGATTTGAGTGAGAAGCCCTGAAGTTTTGTATTTTGGTCAGTTCAAAAAGTTCAAGCCAACAGTTTGTCCTTAGGGAAAACACTGAGTGGGGTTCCGTGATGAGCTGATTCAGGCTAGAAGAATGTGAACAACTTCTTCATGGGAGGGCGGAGCCTACAAGGATCTGGCAAACAGACATCGCCACATCTTGGGGGACCTTGAGTTTCTGTTCCAGCCTTGCTGGTCAGAGCGGGTTGTGGATCCTGCCTTTTGAAGGGTGAGATAAATTCAATAGTGTCTCAATCAAGAACTCTACTTCCCATCTCTCCACTTTCACCAACTCATTCACGATTTCTGATGGTGGTCAAGAGGCCAGCTCTGGCTTGGGGCTTGCAAGGACAGAGGTGTCAGCAGCTTTTCAGCAGAATTGAAAGAGCATTACTGTTAAGGAGATCCATAAAGATCATTCTAGTGTCACTGAAATAAGAGGGTGTGATTACACCTTCTCCTACCATGCACACATCCTCGGGATGCCCCAGAGAGACGGGAGGGACATGCTGGGAGGTGGAGGGAAAAGGGCCAAGCAAATAAAACTAGCAAGAGGAATGGATTCAAACGACTCTGCCTCTAACCTTTCACATATAAAATACTTAAAAAGGTTTGAACATTTAGATAAAAAGAATGATGCTAAGTTTTTGATATATTTAAAGTAGATACTAGTATTTGGAGTACTTCTGCCTGAAACCTAGAAATTTACCCAGAGAAAAATGAAAGCATCAGTTTAAATGATTAATTATCGCATTTTTTTAAATAGCTACCATACTAGTGTCTATAAGTTAGCTTATTTTTGTCCTTTGAAAGGAACCATTAAGAAATTTCTAGGAGAGTGCTCCATCATAACAGGGTAACATTGGCATGGATTAAGTGACAAGCAGAGCGAAAAAGAAAAAGCAAGCCACAGACAAAAGACACGACATGATGCTGGACAGGGCAGGAAGTTTTTTACTAAGTAGATCTTAGAAATCCTTGCACGTGAAGACACACTCGTCTACCATCTCCTGTTTAATGGCTACATGGCATTCCATTTCATGCAGCCATCAATTTAACAAATCTACCGATGAACACCCGACCCTTCCCTGGTATAAATACCATAGCAACTAAAATCCTGTAATACACTTTTTGTTCACTTTCTCAGTTACAGCTTTAGGTTAGATCCACTTGGAGATTTACAGCACCCAAAGACTCCTTTTCAAGTGAGTCCAGGTAAAGGTCTTCCCTGCTGCGGATGATTAAAGGACTGATACTAATTCAGAAATGCTGAGCCTATTGGTTTCTACCAACCTGAACAAGGACTGTCTAATTCAGCTAATAGGAAATGCTAATTATCATTTTTTTCAGAGATGGTTCTGGATTTACTAGGGTTAAATGTGCAAACACAAGAAAGGATCTAAAAGTACCCTTTAAAGTGAATGTGAATTCTAGAGGTTTTGGCTCAGAGGAGGAGTGCTGGGAGACTGGCCTGGACTTCTGCCACTCAGAGAAAGTCTGAGCAAGCTTCTCTGCCCCGGAGTGAGCTGTAGTTCTTTATCTCAATCTGTCTTGGCCTTTTCCGAACTCCCTACTACCAAACTGTGCAGACGAAAGGAAGCTGTGAAGAGCTGTGTGAGAGGCAGGAGTTAGAAGGCCTGCTTTGAATACAGATGGTTCTCTGTTTACAAACTTTTAGCAAGACAGATCTCTGTGTGCCACCGGAAGCTGGTGTTAGTGGTCACTTGCAGTGTTGATTTGGACGGTGGAACAAAGAGATGAAGAATGGTTACTATCAAACTTAAACAAGCTGTTTCAGAAAACAGAAGAGGTAGTAACATCCAACATATTTCATGAGGCTGGTGTAACGCTGATGCCTAAATCAGATAAGGATTCTACAAGAGAAATGATATGCCACTGCTCACGAACACAGATGCAAAATTACTAACTACAGTATTTACAAACAATCCAGTATTGAAAGCATACAAACCTATCAAACACCAGGTGAGCCAATAAAGGTTATCTTGGAAATACTAGGATGGTTTAATGTTATGAAATCTAGTAAGTAATTTGCTACTTAATTTGTAATTAACAGATGAAGGGACAAAAATATGTCAGTACTTCAATAGATGCAGAAAGAACATTTGATATAATTTAATATTAATTCACCAAAAAATTGGCAAACTTAATAGAGTGTCTCTATCAAATATTTCTAGTAAATAAGATATCTAATGGCAAACAGCTAGAAGAATTTCCTTTAAAGTTAGGTACAAGTTAAGGATGCCCAATATCGACACTGTTATTGAACACTGTTTTGGAGGTGCTGTCAGCACAGTGACATCAGAACAATAAACAAAAAGCGTAGGGATTGGGAAGGAAGAAACAAAACTGTATCACTGGCAAATAAACAGTCTACATTGAAAAGCCAAGTGAATTCACAAAAACAATCAGAACTAAACAGAGTTTAGAAGGATTGCAAGATAACAAACTCAATAGACCAAAATCAGTACATTCCTATAAACCAAAGAAAATAATTAGAAATTGTTAATATAATTATTAATAACTAAAAACTATAAAATATTTAAGAATTATTCCAACAAAACTTTAATGAAAAGAATACTAGGTAACATATATAGTTGCACTGCATTCAGGGATGAAATGACTTAATACTATAAAGATATCAATTTTTTTTTTTTAAGATGTCAGTTCTAAAGTAAATATAAATTTAAGGTGAGTCCAATAAATACGAACTAGATTTTTGGGGGAACAAAAATTCTTATGTAAGAATGGTATTTAAATTCACAGGGAAAAGTGAAGGGACAAGAACAGACAGGGAAAACCTGAAGAATGATATGGGAGCAGGGCTTTCCCTATCAGATACCAAGACATACGGTCAAGTTACAACAGCGAAGACGAGAGGATGTGAGGCCAATGGACTAGAATGGAAAGCCCCAAGCAGACCTGTGCTATGTGACTACATTAAAATTAAAACCGAAACTTCTACTCAACAAAAGGCACCATGAATAAAATGTCTTTGGAAACAGGTTGAGAAAAGCCTTTGGGAACTTACCTTCTTTAGAAATAAAGGTGCTTCTAAACTCATAACAGTTAGGTCGAGGTGCTGTCCTTGGCACCGGCAACAGAAATGACTACATGGAAGGACAGCATGGTGTCTAAAATACAGATGCTGGCAGCAGACTTCTTGGGTTTGTGTCCTGGTTCTGTCACCTAATTGCCGTGTGACTTTAAGCCAGTGATTGTGCCTCGCTTTCCTTATTTGTCAAAAGGACACAAATGCCTTACTGTGTTTCTGGGGATTTAAATAATAACTTATAAAGTGCCTGGCATCACAACAGTGTATCTGTTGTTAAGGTTCAAGTGTCATTGCTATTAGTGTTGCATCAATATGTTACTTAAATTTCCATAACACTACAAATTTTCAACCATTTTCACCTCTGTGATCTCATTCTACCATCGGAGTACCTATGTGAACAGATCAGGAAGGTTCTACCTCACAGCTCCTGTGATCCTGGTTTTTCAACTATAAAATAAGGAGAGCATCTCCCGGGTGTCTGTGGCTCTGAAACAGTAATTTCTATTTTATGAGGAAGAAATATAAGGCAAAAGAATGTTAACACACTTGCCTTAGGTCACACAGAATTATTAGCAGAGTTAGGATCAAAACCTAGGTCTCCCACATTAATTTGCATCACAAAGATATAATAATAGTAGTAATTTCCCTGGTGTCTAAATTTCTTCTTGGGACAGTAGGCTAGACACTTAGGAAGGTGATTCACGTGGGGGCATCCAGGATGTTACTGAGAAATTCCAGTGACTCGAAGCACCTGACTCACCGCCAGGGCAAGAACCAGTGGAGACACATCTCTTCGTGAACAATAATGTGATAATGGCCACACAGGAATAATAAAGAATTACCTGGGCAAGCAGACCTGGTTGGATCTGAAGAGGCTGAGCTCCTGGGGCTTGAGTGACGATGGGAACAGCATTTTCCATTCGCACAGAATACCCAGCGTGCTTAGAGGGAGAGGCCTGCAATCCTACTCCAGGCGGGGGCAAGGGAGAGAGGGGTCAGCTAAGTGGCCAGAACCAGCTGGAAGAAGGGGGCCTTCCTAGCTAGCTGTGTCAGCTCTCGGGTCCCCTTCACACCCGTCCCCGCCAGGTAGTGTCTGGTCCTTTGGAAGTCTCCCCTTTAGTTTCTAACATTAAAAAAAAACAAAAAACAAAAAACAAAAAACAAAAAAAACCCACAAAAAACCACCTTGAATGTGTTCAAAGACTAGAAAGTCAATTTAAGGAATCTGTAAAACCGCAAGTGGAACAGTTATGCTGACAAATGACAACAGGAAAACAGCTGCTCCTGACATGAAGATATATCCACGCAGGGCAAAGCCAGGGGCGCTGGGCGAGAACCTAGGAGCCTGTTTGAAATTGCTCTGACTCTGAAACTGGGCGATCACACACATGCTAATCCCGTGGGGTTTGCAAAAACGAATTCTTGAGCTTTCTGTGTAAACTGTAACCAAGTACACAGTCAACTCTACTTTTAGCATTTTCAGAAGAGTATTGGGGTACATGGCCGAAGAATCATTTGGGGGTGGCCTGGGAGGGACTTTTCAGATTTATGTCATTCGTGGGAACTGAGACCACGCTGGCTGTCAGGGGTTGGCAGTTTGCTGTAAGTAAGCCACTCAGGGGTGTTTCTCATGAGAAGCCCCCAGAGCTGATATCAGCATAACAGTGGGAGCACAAACAACCTGCTTATTTACAGACAGTGGGCCAGGGAGAAAGATCACTGGCAAGTGGTGAGAAAAACCAATTCCCAGTGTTTCTAGGCTGGCCACAGTAGGATAGGGGCCTCAAGTTCACTGATGCCTGGTGCTCTCACTGAAAGAAACGGAGAGGGCCCCACCCCAGGGAAGTTGCTATGACAACCCTGTGGGTGCCTGTACCTTGCGGCTGGTCCAGTCAGAAGCAGGTGAGAGGCTGGGTCTGCTCATTCTTACCTTGGAAGCCAGGTGGACACACGATGAGAGCTTGCTGGAAGGGGTCAGGCCGGGCACAAATCTGGGCTGTTCCCGTCTGCAAGGGCATGCTCCGCTGGGCCACTGCAGCCATGGATGCCGCTGAGGGCTGGTAGAGTGCAGATTGGTAGTTTAGTATGGAGACTTCGGGATTGGCTAAGGAAATAGTGGCACTGGTGGAGGTGGGAGCCTAAAGGAATGATGGGGATTAAACAAAAATAAACAAAAATAAAAAATGAGGGCGGTGGCATGTTGGGAGACACAAATCTAAATCAAATAAATGAACTCAAAAGAAAGCAAATGAACGAAAACCAAGAGCAAAGAAGCAAAAACAGAGGGGAGCGGAAATACAGTTGAAAAGTCTCAAGGAAACGGAGGGACCTGCAGCCACGTGAGACACAGAATCACCTCCGGTGCTTACATGCAGGCCTGTTCCGACCTTTGTGGGGCCTGGATGCGAGTGCAAACGGATGCCTGATACCGTGTGTCTAAATACTGCAAAGTTAAAAACGAGGCTGGAAACGATTCGCGTTCTGCTTGTCCACTTTGACAAATACACCTTCATCTGGAAGGCCAGGTCTGAGTTTAGGATTCCTGGATTCCTTGGCTTCTGCCACTGGAACACGGTGATGAGGGAGAGCTGACGCCTGCCTGCCTTCTTTCATGCCCCAGCTCCGTGCTACAAGTTAAAGGGCTTTGGGTGCACATGCGTGGACCTGGTGGTGTGGTCCATACTTGGGAGGCTGAATCAGATGGAGGCCCCTGCAGGCCCGAGGTTCCAGGTACCCAGAGTGTGGCACGGAAGCACACGTACCTAGAGGAGGGCTGGGGTGTGAGGGCAGCACTGTTTATGGATATCCTTAGCCAGCTACACATCAGTTACTGGAAAGAAATATGCTATAGAAACAGGCAGAGGGGCAGGCCGAGACGGGGGTTTCTGCTTTGAGTTTGGTGTTCAGCTACTAAGGTTGAAAGGCAGAGAGAAAGATGCTAGTGGGTCGAGAACAGAAATGGACATGGGGAGACACATAGCGAAATGTCCCTCCTCCTTTCTCTTTCAGAAACAGACATCATTTGAGACTGAACTTCCTTATGAAGCAAGGCAGTGCAAGGAAAATAACTTCTAAACTGGGATTGTTGTTACGAAATAATTAAGGGAATGTGAAGCACAGCATGGGAAATAGGGTCGAGAATTCTGTAACAACTGTAGAGCGCCGGGTGGGTATTAGACTACTCAGGGGGGTCGCTCTGGAAATTATATAAATGTCTAACTACTATGCTATACACCCGAAACTAACAAAAATAATGCTGAATGTCAACTCTAATTTAAAAATAATAAATAAATAAATAAAATAAACAAATCGGGACCTGTCCAATTTCACCCCATCTTAGCCTCCTTCACACTGACCCTTTGGCACTGTGGGTGGAGGTCACCTATGGCTTCACATTCAACACCGTACAAGCGGTTTGGCCACTAGCGATTACAAGAACCAAAGAAAAAGGAAGAAAGAGCATCATGGACATCACAGAAAAATAGAATTACAAGAAGGACATTTATGCATATCAAATTCAATAAAAAGGATAAAGTCTCACTTTACACTTTTTATACTTAGATTTTACGCTGCATTTCAGTGCAAAGCAAATTCATTCGTTTGCAGGTAGTCAGTCCCTAAGTGACGGGAGTACATGTCTGCATTAAGACACATACTGTAACGCTAAGTGTGTGTCTGTGGCAGCAGCGCAGGCAGCCCCAGGTGGTGTGACTGGGAACGCGTGTGCAACACGTGTGGCCCAGCATGTGTTCCGTTACTGATGGAGCGCCTTGCTCTACTCCGTTCTCTCTGCGGCCCCTGCTGCCCGGGGGGCCACGTACACACTTCCCACTCTCTGCTCCGACTCCACAGAGCGAGGTCCAGGCTCTCCTCGGGTCTTGGTGCCTCTGCGCTCCCCTCTTAGGGCCACCAACATCCTCTGCTCTCCCGCCTTCTGGTCAGTCACTGGTCCTGCTGCCTCTCCCTTCGCAGTGTCCCTGGACTCCAACAGCTCTTCAATCGCTACTTCCTCGGGGGGGCCTGGTCCCCTGTGCCTGGTCCCTTGTGCCTGGTCCCCTGTGCGGCTCTGACTGGTGATGTTCTACCCTCCACTTTTTCTCTTCCAATTCTTCTTGAGACTAGAACATTCTTTCCAGAAGACTACTCCATGCATGTCACCACCCTGCTCAAAAATCCCCGACTGCCGCCTGATGGACACTGTACGTTGGTCTGGGTCCCTTCTCACGGTTCGGCCGACCCCGCTTGTACACGGATCTCCCTCTGCTCTCCATGCTCTTGGCACCGGCCAGATCTGTCTCCTCATTGCGATGGGCTCTGGTGAGGAAGAGCCACGGCGAGGTTTTGTCAAGGAGCTCACCCGTCTGGCTGTGGATGCCTTCTCTGGGGGGGCTGGGCCAGGTGCTGGGGGGACGACTGTTTCTCTGGACTCCCGGCCTTACAGGTCGTGAGCCCGCCCCCCCCCCTCCTGCCGCAGAACTTTAATGCCACCAGTGGCCCTCAGGGGTGGCAGATTCCCGGTGGCCTCTCCTCGAATGCAGGCAGAGGGAGAGGACAGGCTGGAGAGTAAAGACCTTCGCAACCCAGGGTGCTCCGGCAGTGGCCCAGGAAAACAGGGTCAATGACTCTTCAGTGACAGCAGGGGACTCGTCGAGAAGAGCACATGGCCAGGTGGAAGTATTCATTCTTACTTCAGGATCAGAACACACATACTCGGAGGTGCGTGTGTGCGTGCGTGCATGCGTGTGCGTGTGTGTGCATACACACACAGGAGTGTTGTCACTGCAGACTGATAGTAAGACTGAGTAAATCTAGGCACATGTCTTTGGGGGAACCAGTAAGACGGGGAGATGGGAGTGGAAGTCTCTGCGATGGCACAGACCACCTGAGCCAGGACCTGGAGATTATGCACTCAGGAATTCTTGGATGCCATCTGTATTTCAAGCAGCATGCTAGTGCTGGATTCTGCTCATTTCCTGCAAAAAGTTGGAAATTCGTGGGGAGAAAACCTTAGATTCTGGGTCCCTTTCAGTTCCAGATGCTGGGATTCTGGTGCCAGACTGATGAATGGATCTTCCTCATGACTTGGAGAAAGGACAGGTTTCATCTGTCTTGAAAGGAGGTCCTGTGGACCTGGCAGTGTGGGGACGAGGGGGAGGGGTCGGAACCGGGTGACTGCTGCTGTCCTGGTTCTAGAATTCCTTACCAGGCAGATACCGGACATCCGAGGATCACAGCATCTCCTCCACCTTACCACACACCGGGACAGAGGGAAGCAGAAGAGGTATCACCTCAGAAACCTTAGTGAGTCCTTTCTGGGACCTTTCGATGGGGCCAGCAGGTGACACAGAGTGCCCGGGGCTCCCGAAGGAAACGACCTTGGAAGCAAACGCCTTCTTACCAAGTCGAATATGACAGCAGAGGAATTTTGTCTCTGGGATACGATGTTGGAGGAATTTTGTCTCCTGACTGGCTTTGGTGGGAAAATACAATTCCTGGTGCTGTCAGCCCCGCCCGCCTCCTCCCCTGCTGCCCACTTACCTGGTTGTGGACAGTGTTCAGCTGGTTGTTGAAGGTCATGGTCAGGTTGGTGGACGTGCTGGGGGCCACGTGCGTGATGAAAGGGGTTTTGCTCTGGTTCACGGTGTCATACATATTCACCCGGCGCTTGCAGATCTCCATGTTCTGGAAACATGATTTGACGCTGTCCGTGCAGAAGGCAGAGACAGTGGTGTGAGGGAAAGGGAAGAAGGAAACGTGGGAAAACGGGGAGAAAACGGAGAGAGAAAAGGGGAGAACGGTTAATCTAGGAAGTAAGGGAACGAGGAAAACAGCGCTAGGTCTAAGTTTCCCGGATTTCCCATGTACCGTCTGCGTCTGCAAGAGGTATTTAGACGAGTTTCTCACTCGCCTCCTCCCCACCCTGGACGGGGAAAGGTCTCCGCAGCACACCCGGACTGATGCCTCTCTGCATCTTCCTCATATCGCTCATCTGCCTCCCACGTCCCAGCTCATTCTCAGCTTTCGGTGCAGTTTGTGGCCCATAAACAAACGTGTAAGTTCTCTGACTGGGGACATTAAACAGCTTTTGACCTGCCTCCACCCACCCCACAGGCAGCTCCCTGCGCTGACTCTCCCCAGCTACTCTGGGGCACTGGCGCCATCTAGGGGACAGCCGAGGAACCAGCCAACTCGGTATCATTGCCACTCTTCCCATAGGAACTGTGCAGGCGATGAGAACAATAATAATATTAAGACTTAATAACAGTGGCTAAGATCGAGAGCTGTGGTAATTGTGCGCAAGACTCTCTCACTCAGTCTTACAACTACGAGAGGGAGAGACGATTGCTGCCCCTACTTCATGGGCGAGGATGAAACTTAGAGAGGATCGGTACTTTGCCAAGGTCAAGGGCTAATTACTGGCGATCTTCACATATACCTATACATCCTCTTGAACTTTCTTCATCCTTCCTTTTTACTTTCTAATTCTTGCCCAGTTACATGAAATACAATTCTCTTCCTCTCTTTCTTCCTCCATTGCATTTGTGAATCAAAACAAAACCCAAATTATGAAAGTGAAGTGTAAGGTGTTGCTGACACCAGGGTCAAAGGAAAGGACAGCCACGAGTGGCCTCAGCCACTCAGGCTCTTAAAAACCCACTACGAAGTGTCCTTGGGAATTTATACATGGTTTCTCATTCATTTCTGTGGCTTCTTCTAATTAAAAATGCTAATATGCAAGATAATAAAACAGCACTTAAAGTGCAATTTCAAATACTTATTTTAATTATAAATGTAATAACCGAATATAAATAATTTTTCTAATACTTTAAGATTAGAAACGTATACTATTTCTGCAGACCACAGGTAAGCTATATTTTGGGCCAAGCAAGTGCTTGTGGGCTGTCCCCAAACATCCTTTCAATGAAAGATGTTCCAACCTGCTCTGAGAATCCTTTCTTTCTGAGCCAATGACTACTTACACTGGCCACATCATCCCATGAAATAAACATTTACTGACTGTTGGCCCTGGAGAGAAAGGAAACGTACTCTACGGTAATCACTAGCTAAAAAAACTGGTAACACCGGCAAAGCTGACGTGTTTCGCGCCCCTACTTAGTACCTAGCACACTAAGTGCTTTCACAAGTGGGCTGAAGGAATAAAACAATGGATTTTGTATTCTTTTTTGGCATGTATTTAAAGCATTCAATGGTTTTGTGACAATACAACCCCAAACTTTTAGACTCAGAATTTTCTGAAATGCCCGGAGTTTTGAGTTTCAGGAAGAGGCAAATACTTTCACTTTGGGTTAGTTCTATGAGAATGTTTTTTAAGGAATCTGTGCACGAGAATCCTGGCACGGAGGAATGGGTGGGGTGTCTGTCTCTCACCTATCAACTCAGAAGCTGGGGCAGCTGTGGCCTCACCCAGGTGGAGGCCTGCGGCAGGCTGGGCCTGTAGCTTTCTTCTCGTGGCCTCAGGGAGTCCTAGACCCTTAGGGATGAGGCCCGCTCTCAGGTAAGTCTAGGTGCGCACAAAGACCCGTCTTTCCTTCTGAGGCCCATTTTATGAATTATAAACGGTCAGTGGTCCTCTTGGGACCCACACCAAGTTCTGAATTTGGAGCTGATGCTCACCGTTTCCATGCTCGGTCTTCCCCAAGTATGTGAAGCATTTCATGGCTGCCTCCTCAGAGGACCCAGTGGTGGACGGAACCCTGAGCTCATTCGACCATGGCTCCGACTTTCTGTGGGTGACTGTCTCACTGACTTAGTGCAGACAGCTAATGGGGGCCCTCTGGGGAGCACCCCCTCCATCTCCTACCCACAGCTGTTTCTCAATCATCCTACTTCACCTCTGAATATAAAAGACCGATCTTCTGGGAGCCGTATCCAGAAGCCCCTTTCCGGAAGCCCAGACTGACTTCCCCTTGACTCGCCCCTACCAGCCCCGGAAACAGGACAAATCACTTAATGACAGTCTGCAAGGGGCAGGTCCAAGTTCCTTCTTCGTACCGGAGTTTGGTTGTTTCAAATATGGTTCTAAATGAGAGACTCACTGGCTGGTTGTTGTAATGTGATAAGGAACGGAACTGAAATTAGAGGATGTGCCATCTCTGCTGGGCGCCACCCACTCATTTCTTGTAGGCTGGTTAAGGCCAAGTCCCGCCTTGAGACTCGGCCCAGTCGGAGGCTGGCCACGGTAGGGCCAACCCTACTCTGCAAATGCCTCTTGTCTCCAGCCTCTCCTTACATATTCCCTCTCCCTCCTGACCTTAACTAAAGTCTGGTGCTCTCTTGGGGGACGCTGCTTCTCCCGGCAGACATCCAGGGATGTGACTTTTAAACCCCAAGTACGGAGTTGACAGGCTGAAGTGATAGCCCTTGTTAGCCTCTGTCACGGGCTGAACTGTGCCCTGCAAATTCATGCGTTAAAGTTCTAACCCCCAGTACTTCAGAATGGGATTGAATCTGGAGCTGGGATCTTTAAAGAGGTAATATGAGGTCATTCGGGTGGGCCCTAAGCCAGCTCCTCACGATGGGGAGGAAAACAGGACACAGACATGTATAGGAGGACCACTTGAGGACATGGAGGGGTGGCCACCTGTAAGCCGAGGAGAGAGGCCTTTGAAGAAACCCACTCTGCTCAACACCTTGATCTTAAACTTCCAGAATTATATAAAAATTAATTTCTGTTTAAGCCACACGGCCGCTCCGTGGTACTTTGCTACTGCAGGCTCCGCAAACTAATCCTCCCTCCCATTCTCTTGCCTCGCTTGGCTTTTCTCTCCCCCTCCTTCTCCGGGGCCTGTGCCACGGGCTCAGTCCTCTACTCGAACCCATTCCCTGCCACCTAGGGAGGCCTCAGAGGGCACGCTGGGTACCTGCCAGACACCCTGGCTTCTCTGTTGCTTCTCGTCTCCGGCGACCTGCTGTCAGTCCTGACCACCCATGCTCTGGACTGGCAAACCTGAAACCGCTCCACTTCCCCACGCCGCGAATTCAAGTGCCCCATCCCCGGCCCCATGTTCACCCATGTGGCCCATTCGACTGTTATGAAAGGACCAGTCTCTGAGCTGATCAGACCATCTTCATCCCTCTCCCTTTCCGCTAAGCCCCCATCGGCCCATCAGTTTGGATTACGACTGTGCTATTGCTGACACCCTAAGTCTGTCAACCTGTCTTTTTCACTTGGCAGCCTGGCAAAACTCCAGCCTGGATGAACCCAACTGTCTGTCACTCCAGGCCCTCACCTGGGGGGTCCAGCTACACCCACACTGCTCATGTCCAACCTCCATGCTCAACAATTCCACTGCATTTCTCTGTTCAGTCTGCTCTGCCACCTTCTGCTCCAAGTCTCTAAACTCTTCTGCCCTTAAACCGCCAAGCACCTTGCTCTCAACAAGCCAGAAGCTGTCCGTGCGCCCCGCCTCCTGACAAGTTCCTCTACCTGTGTTCCGAATCCCAGCCCCTCCCGGTCCCAGGAGACTGTCTCTTCTGAGCATCCTTTATCTTTTCTCTCTCACGTGATACCAGACACTCCCATCAGCATTCTAAATGGCTCGAGTCTCTTCCATATTAAAAGAAAGCCCGCCTTGGGCTCTCCCCAGTCACTCCTCTATCTCTTCCCTCCCCCTTCGCAGCCTCCCTTCTTGATAGGGTCCTAGCTATTTCTCCACCTCTCCCTCAGTCTTTCAACCCGCTAAGCTGGTTTCCGCTTCTGCCGCAAACGGCAACAGCCCTGACAAGTCACCAACAGCTCCCAAGTTGCGGGACGTGATGGGCACTTCTTCCCGGGTCCCTGACCTGAGCTGTAAAACACAGCTCTAACCGGCCAGTCCCCTGCTTACAAGTCCTTCAGTGGCTCCCCATCTCTCGTAGGATCAAGACCAAAATCCTGAATGTGGACGACACACCCCTGGCTCGTCCTACTGTCCCCAGCTCTCTCGTGTGGAGCCTCCGCCCGGGTAGTGCCCTTTCTGCTCTCGGTGGCATTTCCACCGGTCACCTCTCACTCATCCTCAGCAGTCACGCCCTCAGGGTCTTCCCTGGCCCGCCCCAAGCAAGGCTCCCTCGTTACACGCTCTCGGCGCACCTATACACTCCCCGATAACAGCCTGGCAATTTGGGTATCACTAGTTTTGTACCTCTGTCTCTCCCCCCCAGTATGTGGCACAGCACACAGCATGCTGAATAAATGAATGAACAAACAAATCCACACCCAATCTAGACTGAGTCCTCTCTGGAGTGGTTCTGGAAGTGACCTTTGGCACAGAGTGGCTGTGCTTCATGGGCCCTGCCATTCTGCGCATTTAAGCACAGACACCCAGAGTCTAGTCCCCTCAGCCTTGAACTTTCCTAGGCTCCATCGTTCCCTCCTTTATTGGTGAAAAGCAAACTGTGGCCCAGGGCCCCAACCTGGCCGCCACCCGTTTGTATAAATCATGTTTTATTGAAAAAACAACATCGCTCATTTGTTTAAGTATTGTCCGCGTCTGCTCTCACCTGTAACGACAGGGCTGAGTGATCGCAACAGAGACCATATGGCCACGAGGCCTAAAATATTTACCATCTGGGGCTTTAAAGGAAACGTTTGCTGACCCGTGGTATGGAGCATCGCGCAGGACACCTACTGTGTGCTGTGGGGAAAGTCGAGTAAGTGTGTCATGGTGACAAAGGGGTGGTTCAGGGTTTCGATCGGAGTGATCCTCTTATCGGCATCTATGGTCAGCATCTTCTTCAACAGGTCAATGAACTCCCGCCGGTCTGCCTTTTCCACCAACATGTCGCTCCCTTCCAAGTCTGTTGTCATGTTCACCTGGAAGCAAGTAGGGACAGGTTACGAAGACCCCGCTGGGCCCCGCTTCTCCCTGACCGCCCCGATTTCCCACCCCGCAGCTCCATCGCAATCTCTCACCCACCCCTTCCCAATTCCCAGAGGGCCGCGTCTGCTCCGTGGAAAGCACTGTCACATGTCATTATTGCCCACAGGATGTGGCTGTTCTCTCTGCAGAGAAAGCTGAGGGAGGTCATGCTCGGGGAAGGGAGAGGTCACTGCTGGTACCTGCGAATCCACATAAGTGACAGGGTGTACGCTCCCCTGTTTCAATCAGTTAAATTGAAATGCTCCTCACATCACATCTCATTGAAAATGACCACAAGAGGAAAAGGGGTCTGGAGGCTGGTTCCATAATAGTGTGAAGGTTCTTAATGCTACTGACTTGTACAGTTAAAAGTGGTGAAAGGGGAAATTTTAGGTTACGTGGATTTTACCACGATTCAAAAACTGCAACGAAACAGTACCAAATAAGATGCAAAAAGGTTTCTTTTTATTTAACCTTCGGAGGGAAACGTAGGGGCCTCAGTGTGTTCCTCCTACGTCTGCAGTGGCTCAGTCGTCGTGGAGCTTCCTGAGTGAGGGCCAGGGTCATCTGGGTCCCTGTGTCCGCTGGGCTTTCCTCTGGCCGTGACAAGCAGGAAAGCTGGACACAGGATTACTCGTCCCAGAGCAAGTCCATACGAGCATAGCCTTTAAAAGACTAGTTTTGTGGTGCTTTCTCTGTTTTCTGAGACAGGCTCTGGAAAGCAATTTCGGTTTTCATAGACAATCTAAGCTTCTAATCAACCGACAAGTATGCTTTACTCAGCAACATGATTTTTGGTTACACTCATCTTCAGTAAGAGGTGTGCTAAGTGTTTATTGGTCTCTAGCTTTACTTCTCATTGCTTTTAAGAAAAATTCACTTTGGATCGTCCTGGTTTTAGACTAGTCTTTACACGAAAAATAACTGAAGTTCTAGAATTTTCTCTGGGCACAAAGGTGAGAGACTTTGGTCCCTCCAAGTGAGCTGAGCGAGACCGAGTGCAGTGTGTTGAACTGTGTCCCCCAAAAAGATATGTCTGAGTCCTAATCCCCAGTGCCTGTGAATATGATCTTCCTCGGAAATAGGGTCTCTACAGATGTAATCAAGTTAAAATGAGGTCAGACTGGAAGAGGGTGAGCCTTAAATCTAATGACTGGTATTTTTATAAGAGGAAGAAGAGGGAGATTTGGACGTTGGGACAGGAGGAAACACAGGATGAAGGCCGCAGGAGGGAAGTAGGGGCGGGAGGGGGAAACGCAGGGGCGCTGAGGACCGCCGGGGGCCGCCAGAAGCTAGGAGAGGGGTGTGGGGCCGTTTCTTCCTGGAGCCTTCGGAGGGAACGTGGCCCTGCTGGTACTTTGATTTTCAGGTTCTGCCTCCAGAACTATGTTGTCTTTAGCCCCCGATTTGTGGTACTTTCCTACGGCAGCCCTAGAGAACTAACACTGAATCGTGGGCATTAAACTTAGATGTTCTAGTGGGCTTGGGTTCCTCTCTTGAAAACATCGGTAAGATTGGCTGGTACTATTTCACGAATGGGAACCAATAAACTTAAGCCGTTTTTAAAGAGCTGCCGTGAGGTTTTAAAAATGTTCCACGAACCCAGTGGTATTCTTACTAAGGCTGGCATATCATTGTTCAAGGTCAAGGTCAACCACGGCAGTTGAGTAAGGTGGATTTCTAGCCACCATCCTATACTACTCCTGCAGAAGTCTTGTTATGCTTGGTTTTTAAAGGGCTGACATTGCATACTCACCCACAAAGCTTACCTGGGCCATGTCATCTAGACAGTTGAAAATATACTTTCTTGCTTCTTTTGACTTAATCCCCGTCTCTGCTTCATGGTCATCTGGTGTCTGGTCAAGAGAGGCAAAAGCCGAAGGGTAATGTGAATTAGTTCCTGGTCATTAAACCGTCAAGCTTCTGCTTCTCACGGAGGGTCTTTTCCCCACCTTTCAGAAAAGGAGGCTTTGGTACTTCTTAAAGTGACCTGCACACAAATTACTTTCTCTCTTCATACCCCACACTAACTCATCCTACTACCTTCCTTTCCGTAAGCACCTGTCAGGGGCCTGCTCTAAGTCAGGTCTGGAGGATTCCAAGATGAGCAAGATACACCATCTCCGTGATAACCCGACATTCTTCCCGAATTTAAGGGATAAAGTCAGATTCCATATGTGGGAAGGCAGAAGCCCTTTCCTACACAGTTTTAAAATTTTAAGTTAATATTATGTATCAGACTCTTACAGTTCTCACTATGCCAGGTACTACTCTAAAGCACATGAACTCATTTAAGACTCTTCACAACGCTCTTAGGTAGGATGATTACCACCAATTTCCTTTTTTTCAGGAATGGAAAGCTTAAGGAGCTTGTCAGGGTCTCACGGCCAGCAAGTGGCAGCCGGCTGTGGCGTCTGTGTTCTGAGCCGCCCCTCCGCCTGGGGCTGGGGCACACACACCCCCTTCCCTCACTGGCCTTGGTCTAGGAAGCTGCTGTTTCCAATCATCATGGGATTTGGGACTCATCCCTGGACCACAAGTAATTAATCCTCAAAATCCCATTCAAGGACAGCACTCTTGCAGCTGCTAAGATCTAGGCTTTGATTCCAGGAACAGCTGGACAAGGAGGACAGAAGCTCTTAACTAAGATAGAGAAGTGAACCTCGCCTCTGCCTGTTCTCACCCTCGTCCACCCCAGGACTCTTGCTGGACTTGACCTTGAGCTACTCATCCTCAGTTACCAAACACCGCCCTCCCACCACGAGCTCGAGTGCCTGCTTTGCTCCCCACTCTCTTTACTAAATCTTTTATAACTGTTGGCCGCACACTATCTTTAAATCGTGTTAGAATTTGGCTGCGGTTTCTGTCCAAAAAACACCCACCCACTCTTGCAAGAAAAGCAGCACCTAAAATGAGCATAAAACATACTTAAAGCTGGCATTATTTTCTCCTTCCCAGGAAAATACATTAATTTTAATTACTAGGCGTAGATCAAAGTGAAAGCAAAATATGTTTCTGTTAGAATGAAACCCCCTGAGTTTACTGGTGTGTGAGGTGCGCGGCACCACCTGCTAGCCGGGGCACAGCACCCCCCCACAGCCCCCCAACCCGCCCCAGCCTCAGGGTGCCACGCTGCCTGGGCTGTTTCCTTTGCCTGAAGTTCCTCTTGATCTTTTAGAGCCCGGCTCAGGTGGTCCTCCCGTCCCTCGGCCACACCCTGTTCCCACCGGGACACGTGTTACTTCGGGACAGGACTTGGCCCTTGGGTCTCCTCTGGGCTGGGGGCTCCTTGAGGGCAGGGGGTGAGTCGTTTCACTCGCCACACCAATCGGACAGGTCACCAGGTTTACCTGATTGAATCCTGGGAATTTAGCCATCAGAGACGGGCCCTCACGCTTTGCAGGGGCAGCGGGCCAAGCACAGTTGTGTTTCTGAACATTCAAATTCCTCCACACCACGTACCAGTGACAGCTGCCCCTCCCCCACGATGCTGGCAGAGTGAGACCCAGGATCCACGTGTCACCGTCAACAGCTCCCCACCGATCTGACCATCCCAGTGCCCTCCTTCCCCGAGTGCTGCGCGCTGGCGAGGGATGGAGGGGACACTCTTCCTACCTTCAGCCTCCACAGAGGATACGGCGAGTCTGTGTCACGGTTGAAAAACCTAGTTGTCTTTGTCCCTGCACTTAATAAATATTCAGCTGGCAAACCCTGTGTTTGTGAGATATACCGAATCTGCAAGAAAAGATGAGAATGAAGTCAGGGCTTTTCCTGTCACTACACGTATGGTATACTAATGGTTCCAGTGCCTTTGAGAAAAATGACAACATTATAAGGAAAGAAAGAAGTACAAAATGGAAAAGGGAAAAGAGGAATAAAGACAGAAAAAAAAAAAGCGAGGTTAAGGGAAGCAAGGCTTGGGAAATGACATCACACTCCTCAACCCTACCCACACGTCATGCCATGAAGTGCTAATCCAGACGAAGCATGAGTGCTTGCCGTGAACACCTGTGCTATGTGCTAC